TGCCTGCTGTTACAACGTGGATTCGAAACTTCCGCTACCGCTGGAAATTGTCGCATGGGAAACGAAAATTTTATGAGAAATACCGGAGATGGCTCGATGAAACGTTCGTGCTAAGATATATTATTATTTAAAACACATTCTATTATTTTCATTGAATTGACAATTTGTTTTGCCAATTCTATGGTTGTTGACTATGTAGGTAGAGTTTTTCTAGTAGAATAGTTAAACCTGGTAAATGTTTGTTGCGTTAAGTGTGTCATTATCAAGGATGCCCTGCACGTTCTTACTTTTGAAATAGGTCGCCCCAATTTCGAAGAGAAAACGTGGTCCGAAAAATAAATGCTTCGAAGATCTCTCTGAAAGCTTGAAGAGCAAGCAAAGCAAAGCTTTAGCCGATACAGAGCCTTTGGAGAAATTGCTGCGGGCAGCTGAAAAACTATGTAGCATGCATAGCTTGTCTCCAAGTATGGCAAAAATGCTCCGAAAGCTGAGGATACGCGGAGAGGAATGGGCATGCAAAGCTTTGAAGAAGGCAAGGCAAAAGAAGCTTGTCAAACCAACAGCAGAGATGTCGCTTCGTCTCAAAACTCGATTGGGCCTGACACGGAGAAAGTACGCCAGTATCAGAAAGTATAGCAAGTCCATTTATGGTAGGAACTGCTTAGTTCCGTGGGAGGAGGCGATGCAGCATCGAGATGCCATCATTCCGGCGTATGATCCTCCGATTTGGGACAACGGAGTTTTAACCTGTAGGGTAGCTCTAAGAGACATGCGGTGAACAAAAACACTGACACGCATAAGTGTCCTCTATGCGTCAACGCAGCAGACGATCGGATTGGACCGTCTTTTTACCATTGTCGACTGAACTGTGTAGAATGGCTGATTCGGGTCTCTGGTCAGCTGCACATTCCTGGACATCCCGCACAAAAGGACACTAAAGTTAAGGAGAAGAGAAAGGAGATAACCAGACAGCTCGAGAGCCACTTTAAACTCTTAATAAATAGACCGAAAATCGGAGGAAGCGGCTCATCCAATAACGGAAACATGGCTCGAAGACTCCTCGCTGATCCAAAGAACTTCTCCGCCATTTTGGGAATCAGCCAGGAGTTGGTAGAAAAGCTCAGAATGATAAGTTCTTTGCTATTGTCATCCAAACATCTTAACGCCGAAAAAGTCAGACAATTGTATGCGCAGCTTGAACAGCAGATCTGGAAGCAGTTTCCATTCCTGAATAATAAAATACCGCCATCAATGCATAAATATTCACACCTACCGGAGTACATCGAAAAATTGGTAACTATAATTAAAAGATTCTTATGGCAGTAAGAAAAACTAATTTCATAACTGAACCATTTCAGCCATATCCTCTAAGTTTTGCGGATGAACAAGCCGGTGAGAGGTGCCATAAACGGTCCAAATATGGCAGAACGTATCTTTCTCGGAAAACGTCACCAGAGAACAACTTGGAAGACATGATGCGCCTCTCATTGACCTGGTCAGACCCGAAACACGCTGATCAAGATGTTCCAGCAGAACGCTCACGGAAAAGAATAAAAGACGAGCTGTTTGAGCGACAGATGACATTTTACTATTCCGATCGATGATAGAGATAAGGCCGATGAAGACGATAGCAATGTACAAAGTGATGATGAGGAGATGGGCGATGATGAATCAAATGAGAGTGAAGAGGAAAGCGATGAGGATGATACTACATGATAAAAAAGAATTAAAATTGATAAAAATTTTGCACAGGTGCAAAGTCAAAGTCAAAACGCTTCTTATTATTTCTAATGAAAATGTCTTGAGCGGGCAACATTTGATTTGATTTCTGATCTTTGACAGTATAAAGGATGCCGGAATTTGATCCCTTCAACTTATTGTTACATATGGTAGCATGGCTTTGGAATGTCTTTATCGAAGTTGTGGATTGTTATTGATCAATATTTTCAAAAATTTCAACTTATAGGGGAAAACGGGTGAATTAGACCACTTTTCGATCTTTGACATGAAAGGGGATAACGGTATTCAATTTCTTGGACTTTTTTACGTAAGGTAGCATGGTTTTTGAATATCTTTATCGAAGTTGTGGATTGTTATAGATCGATATTTAAAAAAAAAATCAACTTATAGGGGAAAACGGTTGAATTGGGTCATTTTTAGATTTTTGGCATCAAAGAGGATACCAGCATTCGATTCCTTAGACTTTTTTACGTAAGGTAGCATGGGTTTTGACTGCCTTTATCGAAGTTTTGGATTGTTATTGATCGATATTTTGAAAAATTTCAATATTTAGGGAAAAACGGGTGAATTAGGCCACTTTTCGATCATGAACATGAAAGGAGATAACGGCATTCGATTCCTTGGACTTTTTTACGTAAAGCAGCTTGGTTTTTGAATGTCTTTATATAAGTTTTGGATTGTTATTGATCGAAATTTAAAAAAAAAATCAACTTATAGGGGAAAACGGGCAATTTGTGCCACTTCTCGATCTTTGACGTTGAAGGGGTTACCAGCATTCAATTCCTTGGACTTTTTTACGTAAGGTAGCATGGTTTTTGATCGCCTTCATCGAAGTTGCGGATTGTTATTGAACGATATTTTGAAAAATTTCAATTTTTAGGGGAAAACGGGTGAATTAGGCCACTTTTCGATCTTTGACATGAAAGGGGATAACGCTATTCGATTCCTTGGACTTTTTTTGCGTGAGGCAGCATGGTTTTTGAATATCTTTATTGAAGTTGCGGATTGTTATAGATCAATATTTTCAAAAATTTCAACTTATAGGGGAAAACGGGTGAATTGGGCCACTTTAAGATTTTTGACATCAAAGAGGTTACTGGCATTCGACTCCTTAGACTTTTTTACGTAAGGTACAATGGTTTTTGAATGTCTTTATCGAGGTTGCAGATTGTTATAGATCGATATTTTCAAATATTTCTCATTTATAGGGGAAAAAGGGAGAAATCGGACGTTTCCTGCCATTTTTTCGGAAAGGGGTTGACACCATGAGATTCCCCGGAATTTTTTACATAAGATTCACTATCTTCCGTAAGCTGAAAACCCGTTTCTGAATTGCGTCTGTTTTTTTGCTCGAAATAAGCCACTGTGCAATGTCTGCTGTATTTAAATACATCCAAGCAGGTTCATAGTGTCTATGTGGATCATGCATGACTTGTTGTTATGTATATTAGCTGTTCTAAATTCTCCAAACTGTCCTGGAGTCCGGATAATTGGTTCAACAAGATCAACCTAGGCTCGGACAATGTCTGCTGTATTTAAATATGTATAAACAGGTTCTTAGTACTTTGACTATATGTTTTTAGTATTACTTCTACGTGAAGTCAACGATTTACATAGTTGAAGATGCTAATTTCAAATAACAGACTGTAGTGGTAATTTTTATACGATAGATGGAGTAGATGAAAGCATAGAGTTGATAGTTCCGTTAGAGTACGGCAGTGTGAAGATTGTATATAGATATTAGAATAGCGAACTAGGACAACTTTTTAAGGAAGGTACAAATCGGTTTTTTCATCTCTCTTTACCAAAAACCGAAACCGAATGAAAAAACCGATTTGTACCTTCCTTAAAAAGTTGTCCTAGTTCGCTATTCTAATATCTATATACAATCTTCACACTGCCGTACTCTAACGGAACTATCAACTCTATGCTTTCATCTACTCCATCTATCGTATAAAAATTACCACTACAGTCTGTTATTTGAAATTAGCATCTTCAACTAGGTTCTTAGTGTTTATATGGATCACACATGTCCTACTGTCATGAATTTCAGATGCTCTAGATTCTCCACACTGTCCTGGAGTCCGGATAATTTGTTCAACAAGATCAACCTTGGCTCAAACAATATCTGCTGCATCGAAATATGTCCAAACAGGTTCATAGTGTTTATGTGGATCACATATGTCCTACTGTTATGAATTTAAGATGTTCTAGGTCCTCCAAAACGTCCTGGAGTCCGGATAATTTGTTCTAAAAGATCAACCTAGACTCGAACAATGTCTGCTGCATCGAAATACGTCCAAACACATTCATAGTGCCGATGTGGATCAAATCTGCGCCTTGGTTTATCTTGTTTAACAAATTATTCGGACTCCACGGCAATTTGGAGAAAATACAACATCTGATATTCATGAACATTAATGACATTATGTAGCGATTAAGGGTTTTTCAAACTTCAAGAAAAACTGTTGACTGCAGTTTTATCATCGCCATCGTTTCGATGAAAAACGGTTCAACTTTATATTCCCTGAAGAAGGTCAAATCCAAAGACTGAAACGTTGGACGTAATAAAACATCGTAGGATTCAAATCTACCGTTAATCCAAAAATCCAATACTCGAAACAATGTATTCCATCGTTTTATGGCGATTGCAAACAAGCTTTACCCGTGCCCTAGTTAATTAAAAATTAATTAATTAATGACGTGAAAATTCACTCTTCCAGGAATTTCTTTAAAATGCCTTCAGAAATTCCTCCTAAAATGTTCCTTTTCAGCTTTCGCCATGCTCCATCATGTTTCATTCAATATTCATTGCATTCCCTCGGCACGGTCACACTCTAGCGTAACGTACGCCTGCTGCCAGAAAACGTAACAGTCAAAGTCACAATAAACACCAGCACTAATGGACATTAGTGCTAATGTAAAACGAAAACTTCGTCACCTTCGGCCCCACCTAGATGGAGGATACTCGTCAAAGTTTGACGGAACACACGTGTTCGGAGGAATTCTCACCATCCTCCTTCTCGTCCTTTTCCCGTTGTTGCAATGTTTATGTAAATGCAATGACCGTAAATCTCATTTGGGGTTGTCCATTCACGTGAATATTTTATTCATGCCAAGTGTGCACCGCCGCGCCGCGCCGTTTGGGTGCATAGCTGTAGCGTAGCTCGAACCAAGCGTGGCGTTCGTGAGTAGGAGTTTGACTGCACCTGACACAGCACAGAACGGTTACATTTGATTACATGGCTGTTTATGATTTATAGCGTGCAACTGGTTATGGTCGGACCATTGAATTTCTAATGTGAGCTTTTATAATTACAGTAATTGGAATCGTGTCTACATGAGTGAGTGCCATCGATTCATTAATTACGGCAGTACATGTCAAATTGTTCGGACTACACGGATAAGCAAAATTGCACATTTATTGCCAAAATTTGCCCGGTACATTCCCGAGAACCTTCCATCCGAACCCGTACTAGTTCTCCTCCTTGGACACCGTGAAGAATATCTGCAGATCAGCTTCACCCTCTGGTCCGGTGAACAGCACCGTCAGCCGCCAGTAGCCTTCCGGGATCATCTGCGGCATGGTTTCCGGTTTCAGCACAAAATGCTTGAACCAATAGCCCTCCGCCGGCAGTGGACAGGGCACGTCCGACTCGATCCGCGGTAGATTGGTGGTTTGCTCGAAAATCTCCTGATATTCCCGGTAGGTGTCGTTCAAAAATTGACAGAACTGTTGCTCGGGGATCTTCATCGGGTACTCGTTGAACTGGTTATTGCCGAGGCGGCTATGGGCACTTTTAATTTGAAACTTCCAATCGGATTCACGTTAGAATTATATGGAATATACGCCGGATTGGTCTTCTTACCGTGAAGCGATCGTCCATGTCCACGAAGACGTTCATGGTGCCGTTCAAGACGGCGCAGGTCCGGTTGAGCTTGGTGATGCGCAGATCCGACTTCATGATATCGAATCCGACGGTCTGTTCGACCCGTTGGAAGGTGATGTCGGAGATTCCGTCCGGCTGAGCGGAACGGAAGAGGGCCGACAGTGCGATGATTAGACCGAGCAGCAGCATTGCGTTCGGTGGAGGTCTTCCGGCTTTCGGTCGAACAGTGGTCACTCTCTTTTTATACTGTAGTTTGAGCTAATCAATATGAATCTCATGATCTGTCTGCGGCTTAAGTACCTGCGAACATGACAGTGATTCACATGGGTGGTATTGATTTGCATTAGCATCGCTTGGAGCAATACAGGAAGTTCGATGAATTACGGGTGGCTATTATGGGCTGTTGTTTTCCGGAACGAGATAGACTGGACGGTGAAGCGATTGTGGATTTAGTCGGCCAAGCAGTGGATACAGTCGGGTGTTTCCAATGCACGAATCCAGAACAGACTAGAACTTGGTAGGACTCTGATGTGGTAATAAATTCAGGATAAGTCTAGGCAATTGGCAAGACAAGGTCAAAGGTAAGCGCGAGAAAAGCCTGAAAACCTGAAGAGTCAATTGGGCTTCTCAAGGAAACATTGTGAAGCGCTTCTAGGGCACATCTGAGGATCTCCAAAAAAATGAAGATCTAGTGCAACTCGAAAGAGTTTCGAGCAAGTTCAGAGGATCATCCAGGGATGTCTCAGGGCAATTTCATAGATATTCCAGGGTTAGAATCATGTAACTTCGACATCGACGCAAGTTCTGTCTATCCCATACATTTTTCACGATAGCTGTGTCGTACGAGCTGACGAGTCGACGTCGCGTTGTTTACATTGAAAATAAATGCATACGATGACTAGATAGAACTTTGGAATGTTCTAGAAAGTTGTGAGTTCATCAATTATCTAACTAAAATATGACCACATAATATTCGGTGTCCACTGCTGCGTGCCGCTAATGACTTCGTTAAACGATCGATGCAGCTTAAGTTGCGTCGATAATGAAAACATTATTCATGCTTCCGGTTTTCTAAATTCAAAGATCGCGACTTCCGGTTTGTGGAAAACTGTTAAACACCTAACAATATTGATTTTTTGAGAACGGGAACGGATTGTAGAGGCTGGAAATCGATGTTTGCAGCCGTTTTGGGATCCAAGATGCTTTCAATGTTCTAAATCCCAAGATGGCGACTTCCGGTTTGTGGAAAACCGTCAAACAGCCAACAATATTGGTATTTCCGAAACGGGGACGATGTGTAGAAGCCGAAAATCGATGTTTGAAGCCATTTTGGGATCCGAAATCGTGACGTTCGATTTTTTTAAATTCCAATATGGCGACTTCCGGTTCGGGGAAAACTGTCAAACACCCAACAATATGACTATTTTTTGAACGATATGTAGAAGCCGAAAATCGATGTTTAAAGCCATTTTGGGATCCAAAATGGCGACTTTCAGTTTTCTAAATCCAAAGATTGCGACTTCCGGTTTGTGGCAAAACCGTCAAACATCCAACAATATGGGTATTTTCGAAACGGGGACGATGTGTCGAAGCCGAAAATCGATGTTTGAAGCCATTTTGGGATCCATCGATTTTTTAAATTCCAATATGGCGACTTCCAATTCGGGGAAAACTGTCAAACACCCAACCATATGGCTATTTTCGGAACGATTTGTAGAGGCCAAAAATCGATGTTTTGAAGCCATTTTGTGATCCAAGATGGCGACTTTCAGTTTTCTAAATCCCAGTATGGCGACTTCCGGTTTGTGGAAAACTGTCAGACATCCAACAATATGGATATTGTCTAAACGGGGACGATGTGAAGAAACCGAAAATTGATGCCATTTTGGAATCCAAGATGGCGACTTTCTATTTTTTAAATTCCAATATGGCGACTTCCGGTTCGGGGAAAACTGTCAAACACCCAACAATATGGGTATTTTAGAAACGGAAACCATGTGTAGAAGCCAACAATCGATGTTTGACGCTATTTTGGAATCCAAGATGGCGACTTTCGATTTTTTAAATTCCAATATGGTGACATCCGGTTCGGGGAAAACTGTCAAACACCCAACAATATGGCTATTTTCGAAACAATTTTGTGAGGCCAGAAATCGATATTTGCAGCCATTTTGGTATGCAAAATGGCGACTTTCAGTTTTCTAAATCCCAATATGGCGACTTCCGGTTTGTGGAAAACCGTCAAACATCCAACAATATGGGTATTGTCGAAGCGGGGACGATGTGTAGAAGCCGAAAATCGATGTTTGAAGCCATTTTGGGATCCAAGATCGCGACTTTCGATTTTTTAAATTCCAATATGGCGACTTCCGGTTCGGGGAAAACTGTCAAAAACCCAACAATATTGATTTTTTCGGAACGGGGATGAATTCTAGAGGCCAGAAATCGATGTTTCAAGCCATTTTGGGATTCAAGATGGCGACTTTCAGTTTTCTAAGTCCCAAGATTGTGACTTCCTGTTTGTGGAAAACCATCAAACACCCAACAATATGGGTATTTTCAAAACGGGGACGATGTGTAGAAGCCGAAAATCGATGTTTGAAGCCATTTTGGGATCCAGTTTGGGGATAACTGTCAAACACCCAACAATATGACTATTTTTTGAACGATATTTAGAGGCCAAAATCGATGTTTGAAGCCATTTTGGGATACAAAATCGCGACTTTCGATTTTTTAAATTCCAATATGGCGACTTCCGGTTCGAGGAAAACTGTAAAACAACTTTCAGCCCTGGGCTGGTTCGTCTAGGGGCCTCATAGCCTAGTCAGTACGGTATTACCAAGCTGGAGGCGGCGGTTTCGATTCCCGGTCCGGTCGAGGGAATCTTTCGGGTTGGAAATTTTCTCGACTTCGCTGGGCATAAAGTATCATTGTGCCACACAGTTTACAAATTCATGCATTGGTATTGGCATTGAAAGCTCTCAATTAATAACTGTGGAAGTGCATTTGGAACACTAAGTTGAAAGCACGCAATAAGCTAATATGCACTAAGCAATAAGCTTGAAATGCGAATAAGAAGAAGCATGGTTCGTCTCCGGCCAAAAAATCCGTGAACAACGAGTGCATGCCTGAAATCAATGTTTAACGTCATTATGGAATCCAAGATGGCGATTTCCGGTTTGTGTAAAACTCAAGTATTTTACTATATGGGAAGTTTTGGAACGGGGACGACGAAAAAGGCTGGAAATCGATGTATGACGCCATTTTAAAATCCAACATGGTGACTTCCGCTTTGTGAAAAACTGTCAAATACTCAACAATATGGGTATTTTTGCAACGGAAACAACGACTAGAGGCTGCAAAGCGATGTTTGACAACATTCTGGAATCCAAAGAAGCGACTACCGGTTTGTGAAAAACTGTCAAATATCCAACAATATGGGTATTTTTTGAACTAGGACGACGAGGTAAGGCTAGAAATCGATGTTTGACGCCATTTTGGAATTCAAGATGGCGGCTTTCGGTTCGTGAAAAACTGTCAACCGTCCAACAATGTGGGTATTTTTGACATGGGGACGACGTGAACAGGCCGGAAATCGATGTTTGATGTCATTATGGAATCCAAGATGGTGACTTCCGGTTTGTGTAAAACTCAAGTATTCTCCTATATGGGTATTTTCAAAATGGGGAAGACGTGAACAAGCCGGGAATCGATGTATGACGCCATTTTAAAATCCAACATGATGACTTCCGGTTTGTGAAAAGCTGTCAAATACTCAACAATGTGAGTATTTTTGGTACGAGAACGACGAGAGAAATCGATGTTGGACGTCATGCTCGAATCCATGATAGCGACTTCCGGTTATTAAAATAATTGTTGAATATCCATCAATATGGGTATTTTTACAACAGGAACGATAATCTATGTTAGATGATTTTTTATTAATCCAAAATGGTTACTTCCGGTTTTCTGAAGTCTGATATAGCAACGGCCACTTTTTTTCTTGAACTGACAATATGAATATTTCTTTAAACCCAACCATATGGGTATTTTTGGAACAGGGCCGACGAGCAGAAGCCGGAAAGCGATGTTTGCCAACATTCTGGAATCCAAAATGGCGACTTCCGGTTTGTGAAAAACTGTCAAATACCCAACAATATGGGTATTTTTGTAACTAGGACGACGAACTAAGGCTGGAAATCGATGTTTGACGCCCTTTATAAACCCAAGATGGCGACTTCCGGTTGTGAAAAACTGTCCCAACAAAACGGTAGTTTAGGAACGGGGACAAATGGCATTACATTTTCGAACAATCAACCAATGTTGATGAAGCCGGATGCATTTGACAGGAAATTTATAGCAGTTTAAATAAATCATTTGAAAATTTGAGGTCGCCAGTGGCCGCCGGAGATGTTCCGGATTTTTGGAGGGTGATTTTTTTCAAAGTTTCTGGTATGAACATTTATTTTAATTCTTATTTAATTTCTGATACTAGAAGCGATTCTGAATTCAACGCTGACCATAGATCCAAGATCTGATGAGAAACAACCGAGAGGTAATGTTTAGAATCACGTCAATATGTGTATCAATCCCCATGATTTTTCCGCGCAATGTCTCCAGAATCGTTTTCAGCGTCACAAGTAGCGATGGCCAACCTGGAGCAGGTTCTGGGTTCCTCGAGGGAAGTGGCCAATGTGGGACATGACCGGAACTATATCAATATGGGTATCAAACTTTAAGATTTTGCAAGCCAATGTCAATGGTAGCTTTTTCAGGTCCACAGCTTGCCCCGGTTTCCTTGGAGCAGGTTCTGGATCCCCCGGGGGAAGTGAATAATTTCGCACATGACCGGAATCATGTCAATAGATTTTGCAAGCCAAACCAATGGCAGTTTTATCAGGCAAATAACTTGCCATGGCTACTCTGTAGCAGGTTCTGGATGCCCCAAGGGATGTGGCCAATTTGGGGCATTACCGGAACCATATCAATATGGATGTCAAACTTCATGATTCTGCAAGCCAATGAAAATTGTAGTTTTTCCATGTCCACAGCTAGCTATGGTTACCCTTGGTCAGGTTCTGGATGTCCCGGGGGTAGTGGCCAATTTCGAACATGACCGGAACCATGTTAATATGAATGTCAAACTACAATATTTTTCAAGCCTACATAAATGGCAGCTTTATCAGGCAA